GAGCACATCGGGATAGACACGTCCTTCCCGGAGAATGTTGGTATGAATCTGGATCCTTCTTCACTCCTTCAGAAGCCTACAAATCATTCTGGGACGTGTCGACTCCTTGACTTTCTGTGGTTGAGAAGTCTCTTTTCTGGGGAACACCTGATGGTCGAGGTTATTGTTTAGTTCGCTTCAGCTTCTTTTTTCCCCAAATCTGCCTGGAGACGCTTCATAGTCCTTTTACCAATCCTTTGTCTTTGCCTCGTGACTATATACAGTGTGACTGTCCGATCCCAATGTCATGTGTGCTTTAAAGCCCAGTAGTTAAATGACAGGGCTTTTTCAGCACCGGAGAGCTTGCAGAGGATGTGTGAATGGGGGAGAAAAGTGAAAAAGACTGGGGTGATAGACAGTGAGAGCCTTGAGCACAGTGTTAAAGGATATGGTCAAATGACATGGGCTAATGTGTCACAGTGGTGTGTCCACTTGTCCATCCTGGTAACATCCAGAACAGACGGAGTGGAAATAGCTTTACAAGACCAATCAGAGGAGAGCGCTGCATCCTTCAACACGGCTCGGCCGTTCTTGCAAGTCCAATCCAGCTGTTATTTACATCCTCTCCAATGTCAGCGGTCACTGTCCCACAACCTGGACTAAAGGTGTTAAAAGCTCAACGCAATGGCAGATTTAAGGTGTTTTTTTTTTATTCCTGTTCCCTGACCTAGTAGTTAACCTTGGTGACGGTTCTCTCCCGGCCGCCACCCTCCGCCAGCTGATTGACAGAGCGTTTGCGATTTCGCTTGAACTTGTTCAGGTCTTTGTCGAAGACCTCGCCGGAGCGCAAAGCTGAAACCAGGTCGTCAAACTCCCCGCCGACTTCTTCCGTGGTGCCGCTCTTTTTGGCCCGTCGTTCCCGCTCCCGTTGATCCTTAAGCTGGTTAGGAATAGAATACAGAGTTATTGGAAAAAAAAAATTAACTGTCATCACTGCCTCAGGTGTATTCTCTGCTTCTGTGTCTCACCATCGCCTCCATCCGGGCCCTCCGCTCCTCCTCATCCTTGCGTCGCTGCATGTTCTCGAGGTCCTGTCGTGCTTCGGTGAACGACTGCAAGAAGGTGTCGAAGATCCCGAAAAACTCATCCGGCTGCATTCTCCCTTCTTCCTCCCCAAAGTGCTTCAGAGATTTGGCAAACTGCACAAAGCACATATACCGTCATTAATAAACAATTTTAAACACATTGAAACCAAATGCGTCATTATACAGGCTGGACATGAGCATATGAGCCTGC